AATGCGTCTCTCTCTCTCTCTCTCTCTCTCTCTCTCTCTCACACACACACACACACACACACACACACACACACACACTATCAATGAAGTCTCCATACCTTATTTTATTTCCCCAGGTCCCTTCTTGTTCAGCCTGACCTGCTAACTGTTTTCCTTGTCCCTGTTTGCAGGTACTTCACACCAATACCATGTCAGGACATGGAAACTCTCCTAATACTCAGGTAAAGACGTTTTCTTTTAGGAAAACAGACTCTAAATCTATGTTTAGTTTAGAAAAATTCCTGTCTCACTGACACATTTAATTATGCTCCCTGTCCTTTTAAGCAAAAGAACATGTTTCACTCAGATTTCCATAATGTGAATATTTCAAATATGATTTTTTAATAATATCTTTGTTGATTATTAATTTACCAATATATTTTACTTGTGTATTGGCCAGATTTGGGCAAGGTAGTGTGGAATTAAATGTGTTACTTTTATCTTTGATATTCACAGCCAACTTACATTGGTAAAATGAATTATTAAGTGAACATAGCAGGCAAATTCATTATCTTCTGTTAATAATTTTATTCTAAGGTTAGTCATTTACTTTAGTAAATCCTTTAATTCACTTTAATCACAGACACCACTGTGAGAAAGGGTAAGAAATTGTAGGTTTATGTGGCATTATTTGATGCTTTTATGGTGCCATTATTTTTCAATTATTTTATTGTACAATACATATGGTTTATATCCTAAAGAGTATGCATATCTGTTCAGTCCAATACTACATTTTAATTAATCTTTTTAATAACAGCCAGGACTCCAATTTCAACTGAAAAGAATTCTCTCTGATATAAACACATTTCACAAGGAATATGAACTCAGCATTGCCAGTGGTCTTTTTGCAGAAAAAATGTTTGACTTTCATGAGGTAAGTTCAGCCTTCTGTCTTATTTTAATCCTGGATCTGAGTCTTATTCAATCCAGCATCTGAATAAAGGCTTGCATCTTTCCACTCAGCCATACAAAGCTGTTTTCTTTCTTGTCACTACTAATTATGCTCCCAGGTGTATTCAAAATATCATCACCTGCTTTCAAAGTACAACTTTACTTCATACGAGTGATCCACATATTCAGGGTCACTAGATTGACAGGCTCCCAAACCAAAGAGAACATGTCCCTTGGATGTGATGTGGACCTGTCAGTGGGGTGGGAAAGCAGAGAGCCTACTTAGGGTTGTCCTTGGGCAGCAGGGGAAAAGTCTGTCATTTTTCCCTCTGGGCCTTGCGTCTACTGGCATATTTTTGCATCTCCAGTGTTGAATTCACCTCCTTTTTTCTCAGCCATGCCTTTCATTTCTCCTTAAAGGACTGACTTACTTATCTTTTCAGTAAAACCATTTATAAAAAAGAGTTCCTGGTAGTAGAGATGAGACCAGCCATTGGCAGAGGAGCAGTTAAGACTTGACACAGAGGTGTGTGTGTGGGGGGTAGGTTTTCTTGAGGTCAGCAGACTAAATTTTAATATTACTATTTGGTGTTTGTATAATCAATTTATTCATCCTAGTATCCTCTCATCCAAATACCAATGAGATAAGAATTCACTCTATATATTTCTATGCTCCGCCCATACTAGAACCATCATTGCTGTGACACCCAGAAGCTGGTTAGTGCTATTCAAGCAGACACAGTGGCCATGTTTCTCTGGGCATGTTTGTTCTCCCTTTTAATTTTCTAGTTCTGAGACAACTATAAAACTGCACCTCTGTGACAACTCCGGACTAATTCCTACTTGCATCTTCCCAGCCCTCTGTGTTCCACCCAACCATTACTGTGTTCTCTGCTGTCACCCACTCACATTCTTTGCCCCTTTCCAGCACCACTCCCAAAACTTTTGCCAGCCTGCCAATTATGAAGCATTAGGCCACGCTGTTTTTCAATCTTATCCAAAGAATCCCAGACAAGTGTTCCAGGGGCCACCCTGTATGTTCATCCCCACATTTTATGTCTCTATTCACACACAAACTGCTGTGTCCCTGAAGGACTGACAACTCTCTTCAATTGGAAGTTGACATGTCTATCATGCTACTATTTATAGTAGGCTCCCATGTTCCCTTTTCTGGCCCTCAGTGTGTGTTTAGAGCAAGGCACCTAGAAGCACAATAAAGGTGAGAGCTGATCAAGAACTTGGAAAAATGGAGACATTGAAAGTCTGCTCGTGATTTGGTAACATGAAGATGATGACATCGTGACATTTATAGAGCAGTTGATTCTTACAAATCAAAAGCTATGCACTTGATCTTCATTAAATGTATAGGAAACTGAAGGTTAGCATGTAGAATTCACCCAGTTGGTTTTATTGCAACAAGGGCTCTTCCCACCATAACTTAATGACCATCAGATATTTTCAAAATCAAGAGATGAGTAACAGTCTAAGCATCATGATACCACAATGGAACTTTGAATGATGAAAGCTATTTATTCTTCAATTTAAAAAAAGAGAGAAAACTCTTTTATTGGTCACAGGATTAGGAAATCTCATTTCCCCCTTCATTCATAGGAACGCACACAATAAAAAACCTTTAATTCAACAATTCAACCAGGTGATTGCATCAACACAGACCACAGAGAAGAGTGTCACCCAGGCCACTGATTGAAGAAGACAGTCTTTGATGGGACGAAGTGAGAACCATAGTCTATAAGAAGACAAGGAGAATCAGAGGAACACCCTTTCCCAATCTGAAACCCTGCAGTACTATATGTAATCAAGGGGCCTCCCAAATAACTGAATCCCATATTCATTTTTTTTAAAGGCATTTAAAGGTAGAATGAGGAGTGCCACGTTAAGGGTCAGGTTTACCTGAGTCCTAACTCTGTCACTTTATTGCTTTTTGTCCTTCAATAATCAGTTGATATGTCTAAACCTCAGTTTTCTGGTTGATATAATGAAGGAATTATACTTAATAGTCTCTATGGCTCTCAACTTTCATGGTTGAACTTGTAATTTTGAATCTACAATATGCATTGAAAATGGAAATTGTGCATAGTATTTTTGTGGCAGCTAAACTAAAGCGTTACTAATGTACCATCTTCATTCAATATGCAACAACCCTTTCCTGAGCTCTGACAAAGTGCAAAGAATCATTCAAGATATAGAGAGGATGCAGAAATAACTACAGGATTCAATGTTGAGTTAACATTTAAAAATTAATAAATGTAATTCACTACATTGGACGATTAATGGAGAAAGAACTTGACACCAATTCAATAGATGTAGAAAATAAAATTCTCACAAATTAGAAAATAAATTTTCTACATAAAATGTATTTGGTAAAATTCCAAATATTTTTGCCTTAACGCCAAGAACAAGGAGAGAACGTGTTTTGTAACATTTCCATAAACATTTTATTGGAGTCATAACCAATACAAACATTGGAGTAGAAGTAACACACAGAAAGAAAAAGAAGTAAAATTGATTTGGATTGGGAAGGAGGAAATAAAATCATCATTGTTCACAGATAACAACTGTGTAGAAAATCAAAAAGATTTTAGAAATCAGTTATTAGATTTAATAGTGAATTTAGCAAGTTTAGAATACAAATTAAGTTGCATTTCTCTTTTATTTATAATTTAAAAATAAAATAAAAAATAACATCTATATTAAATATCTGGGAATAAATCTAATGAAAGATGTCCGCAAATAAAAAAGTTGATAAGAGAAAGAAGGATTTAGAAACAAAGGATACATTTTGTTTATGCATAGAATACTCAATATTATAAAGATGTCTATTTATAGATTCAAAGCAATTGATTTTGGATAAACTTAAGATCTGATTTTAAAATTTACATGGAAATGCAAAGAATTAAGAAAAAAGTTAACTGTGAAGAAAGGAAATAAAAACACCCAGAGGATTTACATTACTGGAAATTAAGGCTTAAAAGCTACAATAATTAAGATTTTCTGGCATTTTTGCCAAGATAGGCAGTTGACCAGTGGAACACAGTACAGAATCCTGAAACAGATGCATAGAGACCCTGGATTTACAATAAATGTGACTCTGCAGAACAATTCTAAGGGATGGTATTTGTAATAAATGGCATTGTAATAAATGCCATAACAAAAAAAATGTATCATATCACCTATCCATATACAAAAGAATCAATTCCAGGTGGATCATAGATATAAATGTAAATGATGAAAAATCAAAATATTTAGTAGATAAATATAGATTATTCTTACGACCTTGGATAAGCAAATATTTTTTAATCTTTGTTTTGGGATATATAAAGCACTAATTATATAGGATAAAGCAGACAGGATAGATGGCATTAGAATTAAGAATTTGTTTTCATTAAAGGACATCATATAGAGAGTAAAATGGCAAGCCACAGTGACAGAATGTATTTGCAATACATATAAGAATCAAAAAACTGAGATCCAAATCCAAAAAATCCTACAAAACAATAAGAAAAACACAAACAGCCCAGTAGAAAATCTTGAACTGACATTTTACAAAAGAACATATTTAAATAGCCAATAAACATATGGACAGACAGTCAATCCTCAATAGTTTTATTCTTTGTTATTTGTGTTTCATGTATTCTTGTAGGGATATAAGCAGCAGGGCTTGAAGGAGATTGGCAAGACATACTAGCTGGACTACTCAAAAATTATATGTATCACACACACACACACACACACACACACACACACACACACTCACACACACACGTATTTTTGGTGACCCAAAGCTTTTCTAGAATTTCCCAAAAGTGTTGACGCTGTGCAGTCGTCAAATCATCAAGCCAGGGATTGGTTCTTAAAACTATTCTGTGTAGCTAGTTTCAAAATGGATGGATGGATAAATGGATTGATGGATGGATTAATCAGAAGATGGAAAGAGCCTTATTTATGGAAATTACACATAAAGCCTTCTTTATAGAGGTAATATTATCCTGCAGTCAGATAGTGGATAAATAACCAATCCTCATTATTAGGGTTGAAAATCCTATAAAATTTATCAGGATATGTCTTGACAATACATATGACTTGTAATGAATCTTACTTTCCCTATTTATGAAAATACTAGAGGCCTGATGCATGAATTTGTGCGTGGATGGGATCCAGCCCGCCAACCCTGATGGGGGCCAATCAGGGGCTGGGCTGGCTGGGCGGGGAGGGGCTGTGGGCTGTTGGCCTGCCCCACCCCCTATGAGGGGGTGAGCATGGGTGGGGCCGTTGGGGTGGCCAGGAGGTTGGCTGGCTGGCTCCACCGCCGATAGGGCCAGTTGGCTGGCCACAGTGGATGTTATAGTGATGGGTCGTTCCAGCCATTCTGGTTGTTCCAGTGTTCCAATCGCTGGCTTTTTATATACATAGATTTCCCTGAAAATGTACATGTGTGTATTTGTTGTATTGTTGGTATGTTGATAAATTAGATTGCTATGATTTATATTTACTAAAAACAACAAATATTTCTTGAGTACCTATTATGTGCAAGACAATGTGCTGGGGACTGGGAACACAATAATAACTAAGGCATATATTATCCTGACTTTACAGAATTTACTCTCTTGTGAGGGGCTCGGGAAATCTCATATGTAAGTAAGATGGGTATGATAACAGGGACTATTGGAGGACATAGGAAGATTCAGGGAATACTGCTATCAAGGAAGGACATCTATGCTTGAAACTAGAAAATGAGTAAGACATAACCACGAGAACTAGGGGACATTCCAGGCAGAATGAATGTTGTTCAAAGGCCTCCAGAGAGACAGGACACATGGCACTTCTGAGAGCTTCCTGTAGTTGAGTCTGGCTAGGGAGCAGAGTGTGGAGGGGACAGGGGCTAGAAATAGGGAAGTAGGTGCAGATCAGCAGAGCCTTGCAGGCCAGATCCAGAGATTTGGGCTTTATCTTAAGTGCAGGAAGTAGACTTGACATGTTTTCAGTGAGATGGGGGTAATATCAGCAAGGGAGACAAGTTTGGAGGCTCTTGAAGTATTTATGATGACAAAGCAGTGGTAAAGGCAAGGAGGTGGGCATTAGCCATAATCTCTGTTAGTCCCCTCAATACATTTCAGATAAATATAAGTTTATCAGTCAGCATGAGTTCTCCAGCTCCTCTTCTAGCTATATTTATATATTTCTAGCTGCATTTCATTATCGTTGAGGCAAGAACAAATCCTTGAGTAGGGTAGTAAAAATAAAGAGACAAATTCAGGAATATAGTTCTCATATGCTTAGTTGGTGGTGATTTGGAAATATAAGAACTGTATATTACTTACAGAACTGTATATTATTTGTATTTATAGGAATATATTAGGTGTGCTGAAAAATTATACAATGCCAAAGTGGAACGAGTTGACTTTACAAATGCTGTAGAAGATGCCAGATATAAAATTAATAGCTGGATTAGAAATGAGACACATGGTGAGTGCAATGCTCAATTTTTCCACAGGTCAGTTATATGTGAATGTTGAGAACTGTCAACATTACAATTGGGAGTGTTTTGTACACAGAAGGCACTGCTTTTCCTGATCCAAAGCAATGATGGTTGTTACTTAAAATTGCTTTAAAATCTGTCTGTAATGTGGTGTTGAGCAATCTTAATAATTTGAATGCTTTATGCTTTTAAGAAGTCTTGGCTATTGCATGATCTCATTTGATTGGAAAATAATCTTATGAGACCAATAAATTTTATTATGGCCATTTCATAAATTAGTTATAAGTTAAGGTAGTTTACTCTGTTATCCTCAATATCTTATGCCTGGCTAGTGAACAAGATTAAGAGCAGTTTATAAGACATTGTTTAATGACCACAACATATTTCATTCTAATGATCAACCTAGCATCTTACTGTTCCCTCTTGGGCTGAAGGGTCTTATTAAAATTATGACATCCTACTGTCTAAGAAATAGATTTCATATCATTGTTTTTTTCTAAGTGATTCATACTTTATCTTTAATTTAAACATTATTTTTATTTATCAAAATAGTATATGGGGCACAGGTAGTGCCTTCACAAAAAAGTACATCTCTTTATAGGTAAGTCTCTTTCACAACTTAACACAGAATCACAGCTAATGTTCTGTACAAAGCAAATAAGGACATTTATTCCTTGTTGTTTTGTTAATTGACTGACTCCAACGCCAGCCATTTCATTACCTAATGCTTTGCTTTTTTTTATACTTTGAACAATATACATGTATTTGATGAGGCTGGCTCTGTGTTAGAAATATGAGACATGTGATTTGTACTGTTAAATGCAAACATTCAACAACATACAATTAGTCCTGCAAACAAGAATACAGTGTCTCAATATTCTTTTTGTCATAATTCATCATTACATCAGTAGAGGGTGACTTTGACCATGAGCTACCACATGTTTCAAATATACTATTCATACATCAAGAGAAACTACACAATTACTTTTTTAATAACTGAGTGAGTTTCTATTTACTATTTAGTATTTAAAGGTATGAGATTACTAATACTTTTCTCAGTTTTGACCATTTATTTATTTCTGTTCTTTCCTTTTCCATGAAAAAATACATATATAATTATGCTCATTTTGATAAGCGTATGAACTCAATGTCACTTGGGGGAACACTTCAAATACTGCCAATGTTATAGCAAAACCACGTAGGTTCTATCGCTCCCCATCCTCCACACACTACCAGAGTCATCCTTTTGAAAGACAAGTCTGATTCATCAAAACCATTCCCTTTCTTGTCTTCCAACGAGTAGTGAACAAGAATTCTCCACTGCCTTCAGGATAATCCAAAATTCTTAGCAGAAATTGAAGGCTCTTCATTATCTGGCCCCTGCCTCCAACTTCTCCAGCTTTACTCTTCCTATGGCATCAGAATGTGTTAGGGTTGCCCCAAACACACTGCTCTCCCAGGCTTCCATGTCTGAATAAAAAGTCCTGGCTTTATGGAAGTTCTCCCAGTCCACACCTTGCCCTCACCTCAGCAGGCCACTGAGCCAGAGACGAGTGCCTCTACCCAGCTACACTGCGCATGTAGCTGTGACACCAGGGGCCTTTGTTGTGTTGGCTGTTGCCTTCTCTGTTCTGGAGTGTGAGCCCAATGAGGATATGGACTGTCTTTCACTGTTGTGATTCAAGTATCCAGAGCTAAATGCAAAAATCTGGTTAATGTGGAATGAAGGAAGGAGTTCGCTCTTTCGCTGGAATGGGTGAAAATTACACTTGGATGTTGTGGCCTGGTCAATTCAATAAAGGCATTTGGTGCCTGTGAATAAGGAGGGGATCCGGGAATTGTCTTCCTGGGTCAGAATCCTCTTGCTAGTATTTCTTGTTGTATGACTCTGTACAAATTACTTAACCTCTCTCTGCCCAAGTCTCTTTGATAATTGCAGTCCCGCTTGACAGGGATTTTGTGAGGATTAAACTAAATACTGCACATACAGCATTTAAAAAAATGCTTGACAGCGTAATTGCTCATAGATTATTACAATAAGTATGTGATAAGAAAAATATGCTTATCTCATCTTTTTTTTTTAAAAAACTTACATTAAAAAAATTGACATTTTTTTCTCAATTTATTTCTCCAAAGGCAAGATCAAGAACATCATTAGTGAAGGTAGCATCAGTTCATCGGCGGTCATGGTGCTGGTGAATGCTGTGTACTTCAAAGGCAAGTGGGAGTCGGCCTTTATCAAGAGTGACACCATGCGCTGCCATTTCAAATCTCCCCAGGTATGGGGATCTGTTTAACTTAGAAAGTATTTTGTTGATAGTATTTCTTAACAGCAGTTGTGGTGTTTACATAGACAGAGGCTGGGCTCAGCAGTTCTTCACTAATTTTCTATGGTGTTAACAATATTATACAGTCAAGTACTTATAAGATAAACTTTCTATTTTCCTGCTAATGCAGGTTATAGAATACAACTGGAGGTGCTCTGTAAATTGATATTTCTTAAGATATATTTGAAATTGAGAAAAGGAATGACATACGAATTTATTTGAAAGCATTCCAGTAGGGGCCCTGTAAGAAGAAAATATGACTAAAGTCTAGGTTTTATTTTTCATGATTCTAACTGCAGGGTGCACAGAATCATTTAATATCAATGATTTTCCCTGAGTTAAGGCAAATACGTGTTTCATTTTATAAAACATAAAGTTGTGTTTAATAAAGTTATGAATTTCCAAATATTGGTTATACCTGTTCCTTAATTTAATTCTCTTTGATTTAAAATAACCTTCTAAAATATGTATTCTTAAAAAAAGTTTCAACCAATTTGTACATAATAACCTTAGTATAGTAGAAACATCAAAGACCTTGGAGTCAGAAATACCAATCGGGGTCCCCACCTTGACTCATAGAAGCTGCCTTGTCTTAGCAAATTAACCATTGCAGAGCTCCTCACAAGCAAAATACAGTGATTCCATAAAGCTCCTCTAATTTCCCTGTCAATCACCCAGTCTATTCAGCTGAGGTAGAGAAATTCAGATTTAACTTTTAAACTTAGTTTTATTTTTCAAGTGGAAAATGCAATTGAAATGTTCTTTCTACATTTCCCCACATCAGAAGTTTAAGACACAGGAGAGCTGAATGCTGGTAGAAATGAGAGGTCACTGGGTGAGCAAGGAGGTGGGTAATAAAAGGCCACCTAGGCAGAGTGGAACCACAGGTAGGGCAGGGGAAGGCATTTGGGAGATATATGAGAGGAAGGAGAAGGCACAAGACCAGAATAGAAAGGTAATAGGCTGGCCCTCTGGCTTATTTCGGTGACTGCCCTTTGCATGGAGTGCAGCCAGCCCTGCCTTGTGTCCCTGACTCAGGGTCCTAAGACAACCTTGAGGAGCAAGTTTACAATGCAAGTGTCTCCATGGGAACAAAGAGAGGGGCACAGAAATAGTTTGAAATTTGTATGTGAAAACATAATAATGCAATAAATCCTAATAAGAATGCAGCTGTCTCTACAGACATTATCTGCATAATTGAATAGGAAGAATATTAGGCAGCACTAGAATTTTAGGAACCGCTGGCATGTTAATAGAGTTTCGTGTGAGCTTCTGTTCCCCACTTTCCTCCAGCACCTCCCACGTAGACTGTATTGATTAATTTCCTTCAGTGAAGACACTGTGTGCCTGTCCCCTGCACTGCTTGTGGGTTTTTGCTCCTAAAGAAGTTTTTACTTACATAAGTGTTAACATGTAATAACTGTTTAAAACAATCTTCCTGCCGATTGCATGTCCCTTATAGTTATGATATAGAGCATCTAACAGACTATGGAATCTATATCACTGACATCAGTTTTGGTGAAGTGATCTCTTTGCTAAAAAGTCTTTTGTCAGTCTTTCTCCAGCGTGACTCAGCTGTGTGATCCTTGCCCTGGCACGGAAATGTGACATTATGACTGTAACATCCAGCCCCTATTTGCACCAGGCTCAGTTTGGCTGATCTGTCTCAGTAGGCAGGTGCCTTTTCCGCTTTAATACTTCAGGTGTGTTCTTTATGAGGTTCAAACTTTCAGTCAAAATGGATATCCTTTCCAGAGAGAGAAGGACTTTTGCTTTCAGCACAAATCATTATCTATCCTCCTCCTATAGAATTTCCTGTACTAAAGCGAGATATGACAGGCAAGGTGACAACTTTGCAGAATCACAATATCATTTAAGAAAAAGGTGGTTTATGACACCTCTACAGTGTTTCCAAATCTGCAAATTATATTCTGCAAGGTTAGACCTATTGTGTTAATCTGAGTGATGTATTTTACAAAAGTTAATTTTTTTTACAAGACCTCATTCTTAAATTGTGTCATTTTCATAGTACTAGGTTGCATTTTATTTCTGATGAGAGAAAAAATCTATATCAGTCATTTTTAATTATAATGCTATTTAATAATTGTTTATTACTTATTATAGAGACATTTCAGATAAAACACTAAGTACAAGGCTATGTTCCAAGTACTAGACATATTAACTGTCATATCCCTTACAACAATCCTTTGCAGTACAGACTATCATTACCCTCATTATTTAGAGGAGGAAATGGAGGCACGGAGGGATGAAGTAACTTGCCCAAGGTCACACAGCCGAGGAGTTTTAAACTCGGGCAGTTAAAGTCTATGCTTTCACCGTGAAGATGTGCACCAATGGTACCATGTGAGGGAAAACCTACAGGATCAACTGAACAAAAACTGAAACGTTTTTTCTTTTGTGCCTGGTCAATAAGTGAAACAGGTGGGCTCATCATTAAAATGTTTTTGTGACTTGACTTCCAGTGTCCTGGGAAAGCAGTTGCCATGATGTATCAAGAACGGATGTTCAATCTGTCTGTCATTCAGGACCCACCTATGCAAGTTCTTGAACTCAGATATCAGGGTGGCATAAGCATGTACATCATGCTGCCTCAGAGTGAAAGCCTCTCTGAAGTAAGTTACCACTCCCACTTCCACTGCTGGGGACGACTTTTAGGATGCTGGTACTTGTGTGTTCATTTATCAATTTTAAGGTTTCAGGTTGTTGGAATGCTAGAGATTTACCCACTGATTAATTTATTTGCCAAATATTTAATGAGTACCTACTGTGTGCCAAGCATTGTTATGGATGTTGAGATTGCCTTAACTCAGCTTAGCATAATTTTATTTAAACAATTGTAAAATTGGAATCCTCTCAAATCTCAGCTATGGAGGAAATAGTGCGTGAGTTTCAGAGTTCTTTGCCCTTGGCGATGAAAACTGTCTTTCACGTATATTGAAATTTTGATAGAATAAGCATTTTCAGGCAGGAATGATATGATGGCGTTTTGAAGTCATAGCCCTTTGAGAATTAAAATGTATCACCTGACTTTGTGCTGTTGTGTCTCTAGGAAAAGCACCAGTTAGGAACTGCCTAGTGAGTGATATAGCAAAATCAACAGACCAGACCAGCTGGTGTGGCTAAGTAGTTGAGCATTGACCTATGAACCAAGAGGTCATGGTTCGATTCCCAATCAGGATACATGCCTGGGTTTCCGGCTCGATCCCCAGTAAAGGACAGCTGATCAATGATTCTCTCTCAACATGGATGTTATCTTTCTCTTCCTCTCTGAAATTATACCGCCCAGTGCAAGGAGCAGATGGTGGTGGCTATGTAAGCCAGACATGATTACTGTATCTCAGATCCCAATACTCTTTCATCCCTTTGTCCTCTTCTCCTCATGTATTTGGCTAGTCTTCAGCCTGCAGTCCTAGAAGCTTAGATTTCATGTCCCTTCTCTGTACTTACAATTAAAAGGACTGTTTACTGAATACCTACAATGTGCCAGATGCTTCATTTATATTATGTAGTCTGACATGAACAACAAATGAAATTCATGAAGTTGGCATTTTTAAATTGAAAGCAAAACAGCATGAAATATGGTACTCATATTAAATAATTTATTTGGTGATATTTATACCAATGAGATTTTAGCACATATCAATTATTTTAACTTCAAATAATCTGCAATGATAGAAAAAGTAGCCTGGATAAAACAAGCAGTAGGTAACTCAAAAGATAGATTTCTTTTTGTACTTATTGTCTGAGTTATCTTTTTCTGTAATAGATTGCCCTAATGTGTGGATCATTAGGTGTCTAGTATTAATAACTAACTAAATCTACATAACTACATAATCCCACATTACTAAATAATAATGAGGAAGCTGGCTTTGCATTGGGCCAAATGAGAAAAACTAACATAGAATAAAAAGTTACTACAGGTTAACTTCAAACTGGATAATTTATAGAAAATTTAAATAAGACTAAACTTGCTTATAAATTTGGATTCTTGATAAGAATACAGGTAAGGATGAATAGCTATGAAAATCTGTTTATGATTCCAGTGAGCCTGAATTTGAGAACAAATGTCCATATATGAGATCTGGGAACAATGTACATGAAAAATCTTCCCATTATAGGTCTGGAATAATCTATGACCAGTTCTCAGGAATTAGTGAATTTAATATGTGAGTCATTTGGGGTCAGCAAGGGTGTTGGAGAGAGATGGAAGCTCCTAGCTATATAACTAACTTTCCTAGCTATGTACTTCGGGCACATCTCCCAACATGCTCTTGAGTTTCAGTCCCCGCATGTATCGAGTAGGAGAGTTATTTAGGATCCAAGCCTCCCTGATAGCGTGGGTGACTGTGCTGGAAGATATTGATCCCCCAAGTCCTTGAGGCTGGAGCTCTATGCTCCTTGCCTTAAGTCCCCCCATGGTTCCTTCCATTGGTTTACTCCTGCAAGCTATGCAAATATCATTTTCTTTGCTGCCCATCCTGAGAAAATGGTCAGGCAGCACTGACTTAAATGACTACTGAGCTCCTTTCTCCCTCTGATGATCTCTGATTCCCTAGTTCCTTCACCAGACCATTGTTTCACTTTGGCATATATGTTCACATGTAGGCAGAGAACAGAAATTCCCTGGAATACAATTAAGTCACACCTTGTCATAGCAGAGCAAATTAAGCATGTGATTTATGAAAGAGTGCTTGAACTATTTGTTTTCATCATTTCCTATTTCCAAAATCTCCAGGACCCATTCACATACTTACGCATAAATACAGTGTCTGGGAGAGGATAATTATGAAAAGCCATATATCTTTGTAGTTGTTTTTTAACCATGGGGTTCTAAATTGCCTTTTGAATATTCTTACAGATTGAAAACCAACTGACCTTCAAAAATCTAATGAAATGGACCAGCCCAAGAAAAATGAGCCGTCAGTACGTCAAGGTGTTTATTCCTCAGTTCAAGATAGAGAAGAAATATGAAATTAAACGTTATTTACAAGCCCTTGGGCTGAGAGATATCTTCGATGAAACCAGAGCTGATTTCTCTGGCATAGCTTCAGGAGGTCGTTTATCTTTGTCAAAACTGATGCACGACTCGTACATAGAAGTTAATGAGGACGGCACAGAGGCGGCTGCTGTCTCAGAAAACACCATTGTAGAAAAGCTACTCCCCGAGTCTACCGTGTTCAGGGCTGATCACCCATTCTTATTTGTCATCAGGAAGAATGACATCGTCTTGTTTAGTGGCAAAGTCTCTTGCCCTTGACAATCCAATTGGTTTCTATTATGATAGTCCCATCGATATCAAGGAACCACCACATGCGAATAGATAAAATTTAATAGGAAGCATATGGAGCTCCCTTTAGTTTGCTTTCTCTCACATTGGTCAGCAGATGACTTTGGTGACTTGACCCATCTTGCTCTTAGCATTTCTACCTCCGTCTTCCCCACCCATTTATAATTTCATTGTCTTTCTACCCACACTCATTTCTACCAGTCTACTCCATAGCCACTTGCAAACAGTTCTGGGCATGGCATCTGGGAATTGTGGACATGTACTCCACTGGAAATGACAATGTAGAAGCCACCCTAGAGATCTTTTCTGAAACTCTAGTGTCCCCGATAGTCTAGTTTTATTGTACATGGTCTAGAAAATAAGCCCACCCTAAGAAGACATTAGAATTGACTTGAACATTGATGTGAAATCAGTCTCTAATCTAAAAGCAAAAAAACAAACAAAACAATATGGATTTGGGATTGGGGGCCAACCAAATTATTTCACAGATAACTTCAAGAGAATGAATGTCTTTTGGCTTTTCCTTGATAGACACTTAATATGTACATAGTTTTTTCAAATATTAAATACCTTTTAACTGTTGCCAGTTGTTATATACAGTGTATTATTTCATATGCTGTATAGTTTACATGTGTTTTCTCTATTTATCAGAATAAAGAAAAACAACATAACTATACTGGTGTGATTGTTCTCCTATGACCAATTGTGAGACTGCCAGCAATATATTTTTTCTAGGCTGAACAAGCAAGAAATGAAAAAAAAAAGAATGCTTTACAAATATCTATCTGATTTCGTTAAATGTTGTTAATGTATTAATCATGAAAGTTACTTTTACATCTACTTACATAGCCGATGAGCTAATTTTAAATATGAGGACTTAAATTCATAAGGGGGAAAGATTAGTACCTGTGGATATTTATAATAGGTTATAGGTAGCTTTACACAACAGATGAAAAATAAATTGAGAATCAGTAGATCACGTTGAACTTTCTAGTAGCCTGTAGCATGGCTCTGTGATGCTTCATGCTAGACCTGGCAGATACTTGACTTTCAACAAATATTATGGAATCCATGAATATGGCATGAATGAGTGAATGTGACATAATTTTAAAAATGTAGAGTATCTCCTGACAAAATTAATTTTGTCATTAACCTGCCACACCTGAAATGACTATGATGTCTTTCAGAGACCTTTGCAAGGAATGAATTTAACTGGTATGCAGTGGTATGTGTATTAGGAGAAATTGGGTTTTCTGATTAACTCCATTTCCACCGATTGCCATTCAAGTATAACATATTCCTAGACTCTGTCTTTAGGAGGACTTCAGTTCCCCATTTATAGAATTAATTTGGGAGGCTGATAGTTTTCTTCTCAAGTCTGTGACTCTTCTTTGAGTTAAATCCATACTCCTTAGAAAAGAGGAGGAAAGATAAACATTATTGAATACTTTTTCTATTTAGAGGCTTTATTATCATCATCACATTTAACACTCACAACAACCTTGTTGTATCTGCTATTATCCCTATTTAATAACTACGTTCAGAGAAGTCAAGTTAGTTCATATATGACAAAAGGCAAAGTTCATATTAAAACTCAAGCGTGTCTAATTTGAAAGATCTCTCTTATAAAGACCCTTGGCGGGCCACTTCAACTAATTGCCTTTCATGTTTTTTGGATTATGTGGATCCAATTAGAATAATCTGCCATAGCCAGAGAAATGTTTTTGATTGTAGGGTGACCATGCAATTTACCAGGTAGCAGGCTTACCAAACGGTTGGGCAAAAGGCAGGAAACACACACACACACACACACACACACACACACACACACACACACAATGGGTCAAGTGCCTCACAGACTCTGAGAAACAGGTCCTGGCCTGTACTTTTATTTCTATTTTCTGTGAACTTGAACCCCACCTGACCCCATAT